TGACTACACCGTTGTTATATCCAAAAGTGTGAGATGATTACTGATTGAGACGTTCAAAATATCTTTTTATTGGGACAAAAAATAATTAACTTGGGTGCCAATACATATAATCATTGAAAACGCGTTAAATGCTTTATCGAGACCGAACAGACCACACAGCGACTCCATCGATCCTAATCGAAGCGTGCGAGCACGATGTTATATTATTATTTACTACAGTATTGGTCGAATTAATGAGCCGTGTAAAGCTATATATGTATATATTACTATGTTTAACGCATATTGTTTTATAGTAATATCGATTTTAGTATACTTATAATATCAAAGGTGGCATAAACTGAGAATCGGGAACTATATAATTGTTCTATTAAACAAAGTTATAAGTTGTCTGAGATCAATGAAATTTATAAAGAGACGATATATAATATAATAAAAATAATTAAATTATTTTCCTCTCAAATGGACTCGAGTGAACTCGGCGAAATAATATTGTTCCTTTTCAGTGTCTTGAGAAAGTTAATAAAAACCGTTATTTTGTCCACCCTTAATCCCATTTATTGACCAATTATTAGAAAAATCAAACAAATCGCTGTGGCATGGCCTAACGGTTTCAATAATACAGTTAGTATGGAGAAGTATCAACTATCAATCGATCACATAGTTTTGAACATATCTACTTGACCTTTAGTTTTCTAATGTCTAAAATAGAAGCCATAAAGAAACGAATGTTCTACTTGTGTATAACCAATATTATAGGTCTTCTAGACTGTATAGACAATACTCCTTCGACACAAGACAACGATTTCACCTGTCAGACTCACTGCTACAATTAATACTACCATAGATGCCAGATGGCAAACATTTTTTTTTACTTAATTTCAAATTCATAAACGAAACCGGATAGAAAAAAAACTGTACTAAGCGAGTGACCAAAATAAAAATAAAATACATAGAAATACAATGTATTGTTTCAACATATGGCGGGCTTCACAACAGTTTTGTTGAAATTCCCTTTTAGCTCAACCGGTATTATTTATAGCACACACAAGACTTACACTATTTGTAATGACAACTAATCGATAAAAACAAATATTATATAGAAAAAGTCGTTTTCCCGCACGTCATCGATTATGTAAGAAAATGTTAACTTGCATAAAATAAAAACACTGTCGTTAAAATATTATCTCATTTGTGTGTACGTTTTGAACATTAAACGTACGACATTATATTATGTGAAAACGCCCAAGGCCGTCATCTGGTCTACTTGTTATGTTTTCGCCAATATAACGTGATGTCACGCCAATAGTGTTAATAATAATAAAAAAAAAAGTGAGAAAAATCATAAAACACTTGTACTCTTGTAAAAGTTGTTTGCCATTACAGCTGTTGTGTATAAAAACCGAACCAAACTTGTCTCGTGGACGCGTGACCGGGTTAGGTTAACACATTCACGGTACCTCGGGTAAGCAATAAAGTTTTTTAGACTTGGACTTATGCACGTTTCGGGACATTATCCGAGTTTTTACCGTAATAATTTATCAAAAAATCGGATTTCAAAACCGACGGCGGTAGTCCGATTTGGATCCTTCAAGGCGACGCGCCAAAAAAAACCGTACATACATAATATTATTATAGAATTAGGTTCGAGTAACCGCGCCAGATTATAAAAATATATTATTCATTACTACCGCAACGGGTGGAACAAATTTTTAAGCGATTTGATTAAAAAACAAAAAACCTCCGTTTTTCTAAACAATCGAAGAACGCGTTATTGTTTTGTAGTACCCTTCAAGAGGTCTTGACATGACACCGGTAAAGCCGGACCTGAGCGCGTTCTAGTCGCACATGTACATATAAATACGGCCATCGGTTTCAGACGTCAATATGATATTATAATATGTTTTTTGAACGTGAAATTTCATCTACGAGAGAGAATAGAAAAAAAAAAACGAACAATTAATTCAATCGCACGGGTGTTACGGTTATAATTCATACACAAGTACGGTCACCGTGTTGTCACGCGGCGTTCAGGTCTGTCGCCACCGGTGAAATACGCGAGACACATCGCCCCGCGTGCCGCTGATAATTTACCGAAAATATCACTTTGTCAGCTTCTTAGATAACCGAAATTAAAAAAAAAAAGTCAAAAAACAAAAACGCCGAACCCTCGTCAACGTCACTGCTCGATTTACATAACCGTACGCAGAAAATAACTGATGGAATTAATGGAATTTTAGTGCTTCAGAGCGTGAAAAATGAATTAATTTTCCACTATCGGTGACCTACCCTCTTTGTACAAAAAAAAAAAAAAAAAATAAACAAAAAACATTACACGAGAATATAACGCGAAGGTAAAATATTATAATTACATAACTCAGATTTTCGCAGTAGGACGGAGCGCATAAATTATACAAGTTTTTTTTCTTTAGAGTTTTAGCTTTAGGTACTTAAATATAGAGCTCATATAATTGTTATGTGCTCCAGAAAATTGATAAAAATTTGTTTTCAAAAAACATTTTTTTCGCTATGTACTTTTCATATTTTCTAACTAATTCCAGTAGATTTATCAAGTTGCATAATTTGTACCTACTTAATTCAATTTAACCGTCTTCTGACTTACAACTTTCAAAAATAAACCTATTAAGTATAATATATTTTACCGAAGATTTGAACAAAAGGCTCTGGGAAACAGAACGCTTTGAAAAAAAGTTGACAATCGTAACTTTTCAAGGATTTTTTATTTTTTTTGAACTTGTTACTTAGTTAACAATGTTACATTTAAGTAAACAATTACATGAATTACATGCCGGTTTTAAAAATGTCAAAACCTGATGTTGGCCCTTCCAAGCCACAGGTGGTGTTTACATAATAATTTTAAAATACCTAAAAAAACGTTTTCGTTTTCAAGCAACTCCTCAATGTCTCAACAAAACAATCGATTTTCTATCTCAAACAAAATTTCACATAACTTTTTCATTCTAAATATTATTATAGTAGATGGACAATAATATAATATAATAATAGATGGATAGTTAGAATTGAAGACTTGGTTATGATGTCTTATAATAGAGCGTACTATTAATTTATCACTAACGCGCTACCAAACAAGTAAAAGTGTTCACTATTATGATTAATTATCAATAGATTGTTATCCTAATATTAAATATATATTTTGTATATTACCATCACGGGACCGTGTGGGTACTATTAATCATTTAAACGGTGTTACATTTAACATTTTTTATTCGTTATTTTTTTAATATACGTGCATACATTTTTTTCCATTTGCAACAGGTGGGTAGGTATTTTCAAGGACAGCTGCGCACAATACGAATGAATCATTTGACAAGAACATTACTTTGATCTCTGGCTACTTTGAGGTCAGAATACCGATACAAGAATAAATGAGCAAATACGCAAGACCAATAGTTTTCCCGAATCTGAGTCAGCGCTATTAATTGCGGTTATAGCAAGTAAAAGGCTTTAGATAAAATCATTGTCCGTTAGTTTTCATAAATTAATTTTATTATATATGAATATCATTTAAATAATTTAAGCGTTTGCCTGAAAACGTTGAAACGTTTCCCAAGCAATTATTTTGTACATAACACGACGATGAATTCGTATTATTCATTTGACAAAATATACAAATACACCTAGTTTCTAGACAGTTATAAATTATAATATTATATGCAAATACATTTGTCATCAGAGTTAAGTTGCTTGGTATTCGTTAGAAGTATTTTTCAGTTTGTATTTTCATTATTGAAAAAACAGATTTTTAGAGGTTAATAGGCTTTGGGTTACAACTCGTGAGATAAGTTCGTGTACTTCTATATAAAGGATAAAAATGATAACGTTGGAATGCAATAATTGTCAAGACCCAGAAGTCGGTGGAAAATGGCATTACAACAGCTATAATGTAATATTATTTGACGATTTCATATTTTGTTGGACAATATAGAATATCCTGGATTGATTTAAGAGCTAAAACGGTGAAGAATCGCCACCATGAAGAACCTCTCTCGACCTCGTAGCACGTGAGGCTATGCCAACCGGGCCACATGATGGAACGTGGATTTCTTCATGTAATACAATTCGTCATACCGAGCATAGATGTATTAATGTTAAATGAAGAAGACGTGAGGAAAAATTACCAATTATATTTCGACATTTGAATTGTTTATTAATTTAAAAATTATTGTAAATACATATATTTAAAGACACAGCTGCGTTTTGCGAATACCTAAAACCTAAACTGGGTTTTCTAAAATTATCAACTACTTGAAAAACTCGAGATAGGTCTGTAAATTTAATTGGAGCAACCTAAAAAGCAACCCTAAAATAATGTAACAGTATGATTTATAGAGTTATAAAAAATTGTGTCACGTGACTTGAACATGTTAAGTACATAACTAGTAAGACAAAATATTGATAATTAATAATGACCTTTTTTGACCTTCTGTACGCTGTAGTATACCTGACATATTTTTAGTATTTGTATAACAAAACCTGTAATTTTAGTGCTAAAACAAATTTTAGTGATACTAACATCAAAATCTTTAGAGAAAATTCTCTCCAAAAAACATTTTTTTTTTTGTGTAATATTAATATTGCTAAATTGGTGAAGCCATTGTTTAACATGTTAGAGGCTAATATGCTTTTTAATTGTGGGAGATATTTAAATGGTTTCCTGTTGATGGAGATGAATATTGAACACTGTCACCGTCAACAGTGTAAGGCCCTGCCGCGTGTATATTTGACAAATTGAGTAAAAAAAAGCAAATCTCGATTTTTGGTTGAAACATTATTAATAAAAAAAAATCTCCCAGTTAATTTTTAAAAGTTATTTTCGTCAATCCGTGTGTTTCTGTGATAAATGGAAACTTTAAATTATGGGGGTTTCCAAAAGTTATGGACCTAAGTATGAGCTTGTCCTTATTTTACTCAAACATCAAAAGTACAAAAGCTTAGTAAATGGTTAGGACTTGTGGACGTACCTGAGGCGTGCACGCTAACGGCGTTCAACACAAAGGCCACGATCGACAAGAGCAGCATTAACGACACGTCCCGTCCGCGTCGCCGCCAACACCACCGGCGTCTCGGCCGGCCGAGCTTCGACATGTCGCACTGGGATCGCACTATAATCGACTTACGATGGACGCACCCGCAGCTGGTCACAGGCGTATCGCGGCGTCACGACAATAAGTAATAATAATTAGCGCATTAAAAAAACACACACACACACAGGCGTGCACGAACACATACACAAACATACACGACACAGACACCGAGCGCGTAGTCGTACGATCACATCGTGTTCCTCGATGGCGTCCGTTCACTTCGCGCGGCGTGCCACCGTCAACTGACTACGGCTCGCCGGTGTCCGCCGCGTGGACGCCGGCCAACCGGTGTAGTCGGTCACGCCGTACATAGCTTACGGGCAAGGGGGGTCTGGATGGGTGGAGGGGGACAAAACAAATTAGCAATCTATCACGGATAAGGAGGATAGGAGAGAAGCGACAGAAGAATAATATTCGAAATTGTCGTAACACGCTTATTATAATATAATAATATACTGGGTGATGGTTAATCATGGCCCAGCCAGTATCTTACATTATATTAGATTTGTTAAAATTATTTTTTTTTTTATAATTTTATAGTTAATAGTTAGCCCAACATTTGGTACATTTTTCAAACATATAACTTCATCTTTTATGTGTTAAAGCCACGTGAAAATAAGATTTTTAAATGGTAACGTATATATTTTATTAACTTTTTAAATTTAAGAATAATCAATAGTCGCCGACTGGTAAAAAGTTATTAAAGTTTATAATTTAGAACCGATGGAGTTTGGTGCTATTTTTATCTAAAGTTTAAAATGTAATAACTTGACTTTCCTTATTTGAGTTGTTTAAATCTATAGTTAAGTTAATTTGATTTATTTTTTTTAAACGCCGAGAAAACGGATCAATAATATTAGGAAAGGAGAGCGTTCAATTTTGTTCGATTGACAGAGAAAATAACTTTGTACTTGTAATAGTATTTATTCTATATAGCTTATAGTTCTAAATTAGAGTTCTGAAGTCTAATAACTATTGTAAGTTACAGTTATTTGTGTATATTTTCACAAAGCGATAGCATTGTATTAATATAGTTAATTTGTACAATAAATGAAATTTTCCCCGTCCAAAAACGCATTACTAAATTGAAATATTTGTCAATAATTACCCCACCAGATCTATACAACCTAACTTCCCGACACTAAACGATAACCGTTAAAAAACTAATATTATGTCTAAATCTAAAACCTAAATGTACATCAGCGGTAACACCTAACTATTAACGGGTTGTAAAATTGTAATAATTGACCTCGTTTTTTTTAACTTTCCATTAACATCTACACGGTAATGCTCGCAACCGCCTTACGATTATATCATTAATATGATTAAATTATACACCACTAAAGTTTTTAATAAAAGTGATACTACTAAACTTGGTGGCCTTACTTCCAAAACTGCAGTGACCTTATTTTGTTATTTTCTTTCTAACTTCTTCCTGGTTTACATGAGTCGCCAATTAAATTTCATCCTGTCTCAACAAGTAAGTAATGTAAACAAATTGTACATACTTTGCACATATGTTTGTTAAAAAAAAATTCAAATTAACAAACAAATTATGATATTTCTTTGTCAAAACTCTAAATATATATTAAATTCTTAATTTTTAAACTGACAATATTTTTTACTCTATATATATATATATAGACGAAGCGACAATGCTTTAACACTACAGCTATGATAAAAAAGGATAATTAAAAAAAAAAATGTCTATCATCTGTATTTTAACATGTGTTAAAATTTCTAAAATATAAAATTATATAATATCAATATTAATAATACAATATATAATAGTAATAATACATAATATCAAATTTTTTAGATTTGTAAACTAGACTTTCAACTTAACTCGATAACTAACTCATTTAGAGAATATAATATGTATGATTTATAATAAAAAATTTCGATTTAAAGCGAAAAAAAATAGGTAACTCGATGTTATTTAGCCTTTTCAAAGTCAACATGGATTAATTGTGTTTAATGAAAATACCCTAATCTAAAGTTATTAGTAATCAAGTTATATGAAAATGTAATTAAACAAAACGTATTGCTTCATTAATCTGCCTAGTGGTTTGTGGATTTTGGGATTAATTACATTGCACAATACAATTGTGGAACACAAATAAAGTTTTTCATTCTATTTTCTCTATTGCATTTAAAACTGCTCTCAGAATTAATATTAAGGGACAGGGGTTGTAGTTTTTGTTATAAGCGTGAGAAAATTGGAAATTACTGATTTTAATTCTAAACGTTTTGTACAACTTTGTAGGTGGTTTAAAAAAAATATTCAGATCAATAAAAAAACACTGTGATCAAATTCTGATTAAGTAAAAAAAAAATTGGTCTACCATTAAACGTCGTTTTACCAAATCGGGCTGTAGCCTTCGACCGAAAATAAGTTTATTTTTTTTTATAGAGTATATTATTATATTGTGTACACTACACGTTGGTCCCAAGTACAATACATCAAGCACAAATACTAATAATTAACGCAATATTATTATTTAATTTAAAATACGTTAAAAAACAATATTCGTCTGTGTTGATTTTGACATTACAACGATATGGTCGGTGATCACATGCAATATAAAATGTATGAATTTCTTAACACACATTAGGTGGTAAGATCAATGATTAGGTAACGCTAACGTCTCGGTCTGGGCGTGAAAAATATATTCATTAAAATCCGTGCAAATAAACTATACCTACAGGTACAGACAGACATCGTACACATACAGACATATTGTAAACTGTGGCAAGGGTTTAATTTACTTAATATTGTATCCAATATACATATATAATAAACATAGTAAATAATAGTAGTCGGTAGATAGTACACACCTCATACCATAAACGATAGATATTCATTATTCAGGCGTTACATTTTCTTTGATCCACAATTCAATTTGAAATTATCAGTGTTTCTATGGTGTTGCAATTGCCAAATATATAGTTAAGAACAATAATAAAGATACGTGTAGGTACTCGTCGAATATTGTACCTAAATATTATTAAAAATAATAATAAAATAGTAAAATTTGGAAGATTTTGTACACTGGATATTATTATTAAAAAGACCGCCTGCTCACCCTTTATAATTGTTAATTAATTGAATAAATAACGTAAAATGTTTGGGGTGATTTATTTACCGTAACTTCTACAGAATTTTATGGCCAATAAACTGCACACAAAGCAATAGGGCAAAAGTGTTATAAAGTCAAACGCAAATTGCAGTTTATTTATTATAAAAAACTATGTGTGGGTACTTAAAAGAAAGAAAACGTGAGATTTATGTTTCCTTCAAAAACTATGTGTAAGTACATAATATTATAATACATAACGTTCTCGGACTGTATTCATAAAAACGCATAATATATTTTTTATGATGGTTTTGTTAAAAAAATAAAAATAACAAAAACTGTCACAATGGCTATATTAAACATTATCTTTTATTATATCGACTCGAGCAAATTGAAAAGCCGTTTTTATTGTGTTCCACTTACTTATTATATTTTAAATATAATATATTCATTTAATTTATATTGTTTTACGAGACTCCGTTGTGGACCAAAGGATTTACAACAGTAATAATAACAACAACTCGACTCGACCTAATTTTAAAAACCATAAAATCGTAACTGCCTAAGTATACAAGCTCAATATAAAAAATTACCTTATAAAAAAATATTGTAAGAAGTGAGTTTTAAATTTTTAACCGTCCGTTAAAAACACCCATTTACCGCGGTTACCTTTAAACTGGTATAAGTATATAGTTACCCGGTATGCTGTTAGGTAAGGGTATGGTTTTGTGTGCAACTTATGTGAGTTCAACGTTTCACTATTAATAAATTTATGTACCTAATACCTATTTAGTACCTTATGACGTTCATTAATTTAATTAAACTCGTTTCAATTACAATAATAATACAATTATTACGAAATAGCAGTTCTTATGCAATGCAAAACTTTATGAGATAATTAAGGACAACGCGATGAATATGTAATTACAAATGTTATATTATTATTTAGTACGTGAGAAAACATTTCAGTTTATGACTTGGGAGCATAATATTATACTTAATAAAATGGCAAGGTACGTAACCGCTAGGCATATTAAACTTACTCCGATTTACAGATTACAGAATCGTATACTAAACCGAGTTATAATTATGTGTAATTTGTGGGTGTACCTTTACCTATACCGCTTTACCGTGTAATTGTACAGAGCACTCTATTGTCTTAACCTAGGTATGACTTACAACAGCTGCTGTAATGCATTGTGTAAACTAATTATTGCAAGTGACCCTATTGTATTTACGGAGTCGAGTCAATTCGAAGTTCAAACTTTCTAAAATTCTTAAAACATTAAAATATACTAAATTTCATTCCTCGAAATTTTATAAGTATATTTCAGAGAACAATAGTTACCAACCTCCTATATTTTTTGTGGAAGTTATTCAACTTGTTATGGGGAATTGTTCGTGATTATAGTTTATAATTAATAATACATATGATACTGGCCCAAAGATCTTCTCAAGAACTACTGAAATGTTTTTATCTTATTAAATGTCTCAACTGTGAGTTTCCCAATTTATCCTATTCACTGTCTCTTTTTCTTATTCTTTTCTAAAAAGCTAACTAATTTACTTATTGTTCTAATTACTGTATAATTTGTAAATATTTTGTCGGAAATAAAAAATTTAAAAATCCATATTTTTTTCTATTTTTTTTAACCAGAAAACATAGTTTAAACATATAAATGATTTAAGTCAAAACCAACAAGAATTGAGTTTTTTTTTTGTAGTTAATCCAAACGAGTTGATTATACACAAATCGTAAACATACCTACTGAAAATATTGCATTTTTATCTGTTTTTTTAAAAACACCTATTTTACACATTTTGACTAAGAACCGAAGAAATATATTATGAGTTATTACTAGCTATTCATAACTTAATATAATGATATAGGCAAGTGGTTTGATTTAATATAACAATTGATATTGGGTATTAAAAAAAATAATCTGACGACATGTTAGCACACACTCAAAATTTTATTTGTTAAAACTAAATATTATATAATATTTACACAGATATTATAGTTAATGATAGGTATAATTTTTATAATATAGATTTAAGACGATTAATAAAGTTAACATTTTTTTTTTGTTTTTGCCATAAACTATGTTTATATAATATTTAATACATTGGTTAATGGAGGAAATTTAAAACGTGGATATTTTATTATTATTGGTTTAAAAATAATAATCGGATAGTTGAAATAACAATAAGGCTATTCTACAACAATATAACTATTCGCCTAAATAATAAAGTATTATTTAAAAAAAAAAAAAAAATAGAAGTTAAAATACAAATATAAGAGCAATAATAATAAAAAAAAAATAGTTTTAAAAACAAAGGTTGAATTTTTTGATTTTAACAAGTGAAAATTTGACACATGGCTGACGTTTTTGAGCAAATGTGTAGAAGATGGCAAAGTTTGACACACGATTATTACGAGAGTAAAATAGAATTACAAAACAAATAAATTATAATAATAAAAAAGTACGGTAATAATATTTATTTCAAAGACTTGTCGTTAAAGCAATAAGAGTTGTGTTTACAAATTTGTGGTTTGATTAGATATTTCAAACGCAATACTTGGGAGTAAGTCAGGTAATGATTATAACGATTATATTAATTAAAACTACCGCTTAAAATTAAATTATTCACTTAGAGATTAACATACGCGGCTAATAATTATTATACTATAATTTTTATCAATTATCATCATCCGACTATATCGACCGTAACCGTAAGCGATTTTGTTATCGAAAATGTACTTAAATTAAAATACAAAATATATAATCGCTCTCAAAAAATATAAATACATATTTAATAGGTATGATTTTTAGAGGCATTTTTTTTTTTATAGCACCGAAGCCTGTGCCAAATAGATTGTGAAAGAAGTCAATAACAATAACGATCCATATTGTATTTATCGTTCTAGGAGTTAGCGAGTTAAAAAAATATATATATTTTTTATATGAAATAACAATTAATTCAAAAATTAACACGTTCCAATGGTTTGAAGGTTTTTAATAACAGTTTAAAATAAACAAAAATAAGCACAACAATTATTATTATTGTAAACTTATAGGGAGACGGCCCTAACAAACAGCGTTGGCTACCTAATTTATTATGAAATTAGTTGATTAAGAACAGTAACTGTAGAACAGTCGACAAAGACTAGATATAAGAACCCTAAACATATTTTGTGTTTTATCAATTATTAATTGTTTTCTTTTTTATTCCGGATAATACTTTATCGAAAAATTGCCTAAACGGTAGCTCGGACAAATGCACATATCTGAGATAATATTTGTCAGTGTACAACGAGAGATACTCATAAAACGTATTTATTTAATATCAGTTTGTTTTTATGTTAAAATTACAATTTAAGTGTTATGCACACACGAGAACAGTAAATTTATTACAAGGCGATGGTCGTACGTAGAATGACGTCACATCGAGGAGGAAATAATACAATCAAATGAAATTTTTATGGGAAAAAATAAATAGTACAAAACATTATTGCCGTAAGAAATCAATTGAATACGATAATAATTACATGTATACAGATGAAAATAGTAAACAATTTATATATCACAGTAAAAAAACAACTGGCATAACTTAATAACGAACACATAAAAATGTTGACCAAATTTACAAATCCGATATATTTGTATAGTTTTAAATTTAAAAAAAAACATCACCGATAATCAAGCGGAAACAAATATTATGTGAACGTTAAAATAATAATAATATGTATTTTAGTAACACGCATAGCGAATCGGAAGCGCCTCAAATACTGAAGTTTGATTGTATCAATTATTTTAATTATAGCGAAAACATTAATGAAAAAAAAAATCCATACATATACGTATGTTTAAAAAAAAAATTAACTTTCTCGTTAAAAACAAACGAGGAGTTGAAAAAAGGAAAATAAAAAAATTGTGCGCAACGCTGTTCTCGCGTTTGTGGGCGTTGACTTTTAAATTAAATTAATATTTTTATATCGTGTGGTGGTCTGGTCTATATCTATATAATTAGGTATAATACAGTTTCACTGGGAGCACCACTGGCCTACTGGACGGCGTGGTTGCACTGTAACAGCCGGACGATGGACGGATCGCTCTTGGCGCCTTCGATGAACTCTTCCAGCGACAGCCGACCGTCGTTGTTCTTGTCCATCTGCCGGAATATCTTGTCCGTCCGCTTTTCGGGCGTCGACTCGTCTTCCGGCATCTTCATCACGGTGCCCACCATCTTGTATATGGCCTGTGCGGATAAATGAGAAAAAAAACCAATTAGGGTATATTTGAAAAAAACAGGTAAAAATATAATATATAAATAAATAACAAATTTTAATTAAAAAAAAGTAGTTATAAAAGTTATAATGAAAACGGCACAGTTGGGCATTGGATCGAGTAAAAGTGTCACGACCCCTCGAGGGTGAAATTTTTGTTTGCTATTCGATATCTTAATGGCGCTGAGGTCTAAGGAGCGCCCTAGCCAAATTTCGACCATTTTTCAAATCGAAGGATTTTAAGCCTAACAGTTTGTTGAAAAATATGACATTATTTTTTGCTTCGATTTTCAAAGGGAAGGAGAAAGTGTAAACTTTTGGTCTAATATAGTATGTATATCCTTTTTGTATACCATTTCTGAATATGAAAACCTACAAAGTGATCAATTTAACTTAAGCCATTCATTCTCTTGGAAAACGATTAGAATTTCATAATGGTTGTCGTTTGAAATTATTTTTGTTCATGGTAGTTTACAGTTCTTACTGTGCTTGGTTTGAACTGTACTTTTGTCTTACTGTTTTGTTTTATACCGTGATTTTTTTTTTTTTAGCGTTTTTCTCGTTTTTGAGTACGGGAAAGGGGTGGATTTATAAGAAAATACATTTTCCAGGTACGTACCGTGACTATTTCCAACATCTCTTGGCGGGATATGAACCCGTTACCGTCCAGGTCGTACATGCTGAACGCCCATTTAAGTTTCTGTTCCAGCTTGCCCCGCGAAGTCACCGACAAGGCGCACAGAAACTCCCTAAAGTCTATGGTACCGTCGCTGTTGGCGTCGAACGTCCGGAACACGTGCTCGGCAAACTGTTGACAGGAAAAAAAAACCATTTTCTTTATTCATTACACCGGTCAACATGAATTCGAAGTCAGTACAAGAGTGCTGGATTTTTATTTCCCAGTAGTTTGGGAAGCAGAAAAAGGCAAGGTAAGGTATTGACGACCCTTTTCGTAGGGTTTCAATTGGTCGAGGTAAAATAGCATAGTACTTCCAATGATGCAGAACGTAATACCAGCTGGAGCAAAATGTTATTGCTCCCGGTTTAGTTACCCTTGCCGGTAAAGGTGATGCTGATGAAGGAAGCCAAGCAAACACGAGCGTCTAGCCCAGAATTGGACGGCTACAAATAGCGTCTGATTTTTTCAAACCTAGGAAGGCAACGGGAAAACCATCTAGGTTCATCTTATGTTAACCCAGGCTATGGCTAAGTAATTAAACAGGCCACTCTGCGGGTTACTATAACCGCAAATGTCCAAAGAGCATACGGATGACAATTATATTCAATTAATAAATGAATAATCACAAGATGAATATGTGCCTAAATACATACAACCAATATCGATAAAATACAAACATTTTTGGGTTTTTGTGTAAAAAAAGTCCTTCAGTTCTAGATTAGCGAGGTCCGCGAAACACGTGATCCGTCTATTTTTTGTATCTTATTAGGTAATTTCTAAACTTCATTAAGTCAAGTTAAGTTAAAAAAAATTTCATCGATTAAGTTAATATTAAAATTAACCCAACTAACCGGAGTATGACCCCGGTTTTTTGTTAACTAATTGTCTATGGGTTTTGGTAGTGTAGTCGAAAATCGAAATGCATTTTGCCTTGTCGTAAAGTAACTGAGAACTAATAAGTTTTCCTCAATATAAAAGAAAAAATTAAGTGAGACCACTCTAGAAGAGGCGTGTAAGACCTTTTCCCATAGTCATTGTTCGCCACGAAAATGGCCATCTCATATAAAAAAAGTTCTTTTTGTCCATTATTACTACCCCACCTGTCATTACTGTTCCACAGTCCCTTGCCTAAGCAAGGATGAAATCGAAAGTTAAGTAGGTACTCACTTTGGAAGCATCGCCGTACGGGAAAAAATTGCCATAGATTTTTTTAAACTCTTCCACGCTCAGATGACCTCCCGGACAGTCCTTCAGGAACCCTTTGTACCATTCCTGGATCTCAGCGTCTGGAATGGTAAAGAAGTATAAGTACATATAAACAAAAAACATAAACGGCGGTCAAGTTGTGTTTACCGGAAAACTCGGTGTTTTGCCTCAGGTCTTCCAGCACTTCGGGTTTCAACTTGCTGTTTTGTTTTCCCATCGTTTAATTCTAAACACAGGACGCCAAGTCAAATGGTATTCAAGCTTTCGTTCTCATCATCTGCAGAGGAGCAATAAACACAATATGTAAAAATAAATTATAATAAAAATACAGTTTTACTGTATCTTGTCGACCGACCACGACGGTATCTTCATATCGTCGAGAAACACTCAGAGAGAGAGAGAGAGAGAAACAAAGGATAATCCGTTAAGCATATATAGTATATTGTAGGGAGATTTTTTCCCCAAATAGGATAGTCAGACTAAAGAAAAACACAAAAGTTTTTGAGACATCAGAATTGATTTTTTTTTTATAGTTTTGATTCATCTGTTTACCATACACAGCGCTCAGAGCAAAAAAAAATAATAAAGAAAAAGAAAAGAATAAAACGTAAACATTTCCTAGTCTTAATAATAACTATAATAATAATAGTATAATAATTATACTCCTAAGCTATAATATTATAATATATATTTTAATCTTAGCCTACTTAAATTAAAAAAAAAAGAAAAGAAATTGTAGTACAAATTTAAATGTTGTCTTATTGACTTTAACTTTTTTTTTTACAATATATGTGCAAAAAAATGTTTACTATAGTATGGAATAAAATATATTAAACAATGTACAATATATTTTAGTTCCGTTTCCGTGTAAGTAGCTAAATATTATATTTTGATTGACAATAAAGACATTACAGACGATAAAGAAAATTAAATAAAAAAAAAAAGCTTGGAAAGACGATACCAATTGATTTGTTTCCAACATCGGTCGGAAATTTTCTAAATAAATTCCTAACCAAAATACTATCTAGTTTATCCAAACCACCGTGGTCACAAATATGAGACTTAAGAAAGAAAAAAAAAATCAGTAATTTTATTACGAAAGTGAATTGCCTCAAAAATGTTTGTTTAAAGACAAAATGGTATTTGGATTAGGGATTTGTCTGCTACTAAAAAGGTTGTGAGGATATAAATAATATTCATAAATTACAATTTTATGTTTTTATTCTTTCTTTAATCTCCCTAATCTATATATTTATTTGTTTTTTAAAAATAATAATAAATTATGCGTATTTGGTGTATAGAAAAATTGTTGATAAAAAAATGTTAAATTACTATTTGCACATTATTGCGATAAATGAACATGCAATGAAAATTACATTGTCTCGACAATAAATTTTAATAATAAAATGTACAATAATAGAATGAAATACAAATTATAGAAATATCTACAAAAAGAATTGTTTTATAATAAGTCAATAATCGATTGCAAAAAATGTTTAAAAAGTTTTGAAAAGAATATCTTTTTTGATACAATTAGTCTTATTATTATTATTTTATTAAAGAATGTGATCTCATACCTGTATTATGTCTAAAAAAGATATGTCGAGAGATAGAAAGAAAAAGAGAGAAAATATAACGCTCTTAGCGGCTAACCGCTTGGGTAAGATGTACACGAATAAGCTTAGTTATATAGTCCAATACCAAATGCCAACGCCTCGACAACGTTTTGTCCGCCAAATAGAAAAATGTTACAAAAAATCAAGCTTTTACATTGTAATTATTATTTATCTAATATTTTAAACATTTAAATTAAAGTAATATTCGTATATATTCGTCTTAGTACCTATAAGTAAATTTTTTTAAAGAATATAATAAAAAAAAAAGCATCTGTAGTACAGAATAAACGACACAACGATAAATAGAAAGTAAATTAATACATAATAATAATTAAAAAAGTAAACAAAATACATGTGAACTAATATATGATTTTTTTTTTTAAAGTATACAATAATAGACACAAGTTTGGGTTGAGATTTATTGCTAATGGAATATATAACGACACAATAATAATAATAATAATAAATATTATAATATAATGTGCACCATCGACGGGAAACAAAAGGTAATTAATTAAATATACAACGCGTATTTAATAAAAATGATTAAAAGTGAAAAGACGTTTTCGACTAATGTAACATACATATTATAATATATAATTTATATAATTTAATTAATATTTTTTTAATTTTTTATAAATACGCTACAATCGACTAGACAATTACAATATTGGTCCAAGAGAATGCGCCTTAAAAAAAGAAAAAAACAATAATTATATGCTTCTAAACAAAACAGTCAGTAGTAATAATATTTATAATAATAATAATGTTTTACAAGTACGGACGTCAGCGGTCAACATACTGTTTTGTGCGTAACTGATACGGTCCGAAACAATTACACTATTAGTCGATTGATTTATTTTTTTTTAATTTTGAGTTTTTTTGGTGTTATTCTTTTACGATCAACGATTATGATAAATAATATAAAATTATTTATTTATTTAGACACAGTTGTATTCGGTCGCACGGATAGCAATTAGTTAGTTGGGGGAAGGGGGCGGGGAAAATACTCAAGATTAAATTGTTTACTTACGGTTCAAGTAATATTAAATATTTGAATTACATAGTATAGGCCAATGCATTTGAAAAAAAAATTACTAAAATCCAATAAAGTATTTGTCATAATATATGATGTCAAAGTGTTAAAAACTTGTAATATATATTATTTTTTTTTGAAGGATTCAAATTTAACTGTATTAATAAACGATTAATATCCGTTTTTATGTAGATTTTAAGTTAAATATAAAATATGTAAAGCGTATAAACATTTAACCGTAGGTCGATCTTTGATCTTTTTTTTGTTTCGGTACCGAAAAAAAACGACTGTTGTAGTTTTGAGCTTTAAAACGACGACTCCCCTTCTTAAAAGAAAACAAAATGTTTTTTAAGGACACGCGTAAAGTCAACCGACGCTAATGGTAAGTACGAAAAAAAAGAAAAAAAAAACGAATTTCAGTTTTCCGCCGTTAATACGTGAACACCGGGCGTTCGGAAATGTATTGTGCTGAAATCTATTGTGTGTATATGTGCTGAAAATGGATTTTTTTCACCCCAAAATTTTGATTTTTCCGAGTTTTATCGTCGAATGTAGAATCGGAAATGATATTTGTAAGAGGATTTTACGTGCAATATTTGCGTTTTTGTTTCCTTCATTATTTTATTGGAAATACCAACAAGTACACCATTCTCCTCGGCTCTCGCCACACGGAATAGTCCCGCGACATTGGATTTCCAAACACCCAGTACGATAATAAATGTAATTTAAAAAATACAATATTGCGGATTAACAACAAGAAACGATAATGATAATAATAATAATAATAATAATAAAATATGGGAATGTGCAGAATTTTTACTCATTAAAATATGGTAATTATTATGTACACGAGTGAGAGAGAGAGAGGGGAGAGATAGAAATCGTTGTCAGTGGCGCAATTAGTGGGGAAAGGGGGTGGGGGTGGGAAGGTGAGAGTTAGGTGTCTATAATGCCCCACCCAAAAGGGTCAAAGTCCGAGTTTGAAAGGAGGGGGGGGGGAAGGCTGGGTTCGAAAAAAAAAGTTTCAACGTCGTTTCCGGAAAACGACTTTACCCTAGGTTCGCAAGCACGGCGAGTTTTCGGTGTGTGTTGTGTATGTGCGCGCGTTTTAACTATTATACTGGTACTTTGCATCAATCGACCCGAGAAAAAGGGCGGTCACCCCGGCCCGGACGAGGGTGGGAGGGGCAAAGTGTGTTTGCCGGGGGAACGGAGGGGAGGGCGAGCAAGATGCATATTATACCCGTCGCCGTGTACCACCTGGCCAACCTGCGCGTTGAAATAATAACCGTACAGTGTGCAGCAAACGTATCACCACCCTATACATACAAATATAATAATATGATATACAATAATAATAGATAAAATAAAGAACATATATATATATATATGTATATGATAAAATAGGTAATATTTTTTTTTTTCCGTTAAATATAAGAAAACAATTCGATGTACATAATAGATATTATTATGTTATTTTTGTGGAAAAACAAAATTTGTAGTAAAACGAATTGGCTTGTTTATTATTATTATTATTATTTTTTTTTTTTTGGCACCGACAAAGGCGTACCCTAAAAGGTGGGAAAAGGGCGAGAGAAAAGATTTTTAAAACGACGTGACAAAATATGGAGTTTTTTTTTCGTTTTTCGTTGTCGTTTCTTTTTTTTTTTTTTTTGGTGGGGGGGAAGGGCTATCACGCCAGCCGGGGCAGAGGTTATGGCGCGAGCATTTTGGACAGCTCTTCGTCTTGCAGACAGCCTTTGAGGAATTCGTCTTGGGTGAGCTGCCCGTCGTTGTTCTCGTCCATTTTGGCGAATATGTTTTTGGCTCGGTCTTCCGCCGAGTCGGCCGGACGGTTGGACGAACATGCACCCAACATGTCGTAGATGGCCTGCGAAAAACGACAGTTTATTAAAATGGTAAAAACCCGGTGATATATATGTGGAGTGGACTGAAATGAAATCTCGCACGATCCAAAAAATCACATTTTTTTGTCTCGGAATATTTCAGTTTTTTGCATCGAAATCAGTTTTCATAGCAACCGCTACTTTCGTGGGTAAATCCACCCGGCTCTGGTGTGTGTTCGGATTGGGCGTCAAAAACCCTACAACTGACAGTGTCGCCATCTCATTTTACCGTTCTCTCGGATCATACTAGTTTCGATTTTAGCATACTCATAATATACCTACTGTTTACAATCAATATTGTTTACAATCATAGGGACAATTTGAGAGGGGGTTGGGTGTGCTTAGCTCCTCCACTCTTGAAACTAGCACCCTCAAAATTGTTTACACGTTTTTTATACCAAATCACATGGGAGAGGGCATTATAATATTCGTTCGGTGTTTAAGCCTCTTCACTTATTTAATAGCCTGACAAAAAAAAACAACCAATAATGAATTCTCATTACTGTATTAATAAAGGAAATTGTCCATGCTTTTTACTCCTTAATAAATGGGTGGTAACGTCCTCTTCTCTTTGTTTACAATTTATTTTATACACAAGTCAGTCAGTACAGAAATACAAGTTCATCATAAATATTAGTACAAAATATGGAATTTCATTTAGTTAGGTACTCTTATCGAACTCGGTTTGAAGATATAGTAATCAATTATTAGTATACGGAGTGTCCCCCAAATACAAGACAAATAAAATAACTTCTGTTAAAAAAAAAAAATCTTAAAAATGTTCACTAGAACAAAAGTTATTTAATTTGTCTTATCTTTGTGGCACACTTGTATATTAAAGAAAATAAAATCACTCGATGCTAAACTGGAATCTGTCGATGACGTTGGAAAACCATTTATATTTATTACATGCATTATTTATTGTACACAAGTCGAGTGACAGCGATTTCAAGGTTGTACTCTCAAAATTGCCTTTGAAATCTCGACTATTTTTTTTTATTAACGTTTTGTGGAAATCAAACAACGATTAATCTTTTCTTCTATACGAGCCCGTTACAAATAGTCAAGTGGTGTATATGGTGGTCGAATTACTCTGGGAAGGTCAGCTTGTATACAAAGACGTATTAAATGTTAGAAATTATTTTTAACTGAAATATAGAATATCACCATTTGACTTCTGCGTCTGAGTGATAAAAATCATTATAATAGTTTGTTTGTTTGGATGTGTGTACCTTTGTTTTAAACTTTAAAAGAAAGTTAAAGCAATTTCATTTTTAATAAAGTTACAAAATATACCTATTTAAACGACATATTACATTTTTTTGTTTTTATATAAATATTTCTTCCGCAATCAAAGAGCAACTGCTGAAACGTTAATAAAACTTTTTCATAACGTTTGAAATTTTTTTTTTTTACTATTTCACAAATTTAAATATTGTCTAAACGTTGTTAAACTTTAATATTTAAAAAATATATTTTACCTAAAGGACAACATTTCAACAAAATTTTGTAAATTATATTTTTGAAACTCGTGACAAAAAATTGTTTGAAAATAATTTCAAAAAACGCATAACATTACCTGAACGATTTTGGTCATTTCTTGAATATCAATAACGCCGTTGCCGTCCACGTCGTACATTCTGAACGCCCATTTTAATTTCTCTTCCGGCGTTCCCGAAGACGTCACGTCAATGGCTAATAGGAATTCCTGTAAAAAACCAATCGACGTCAAAATTATAAAAAAAAAAAACATTAGACATTTGGAAAAAAAAATTAGATCACCATACTGTCCAATTGATTGTTTCTGATATGATTTCTTATTATTCATTTCTTAGCAGCTGACTCACTTATCGATAATCTATATCAGTTATCCGGGGTTTATCAATCAATGTATTAATATCATCATACCATCCCAATCCTCTCCTCTCCCACTCCCTCTCTTTCTTTCGGTTTCCCCTCCCCCTCCCCATATGACCCTACCCGTCCTTGTACCGTAAAAGTGCATCTTAATCCCCTTCCCCTTTCCTGAAGTGAAACAAAAGTGTAAAGCATATTTTTGGCAGACCGCCAGACATAGGACACATTCGTGGCAAAGCAGCACAGATAGTATTTGACAGCAAGGAGCTCGGCAAAGGGGAAGGTGAGGGGATGAGTTAAGGGCAAACCATGTTGTACCTATACATTTTTCTTGTCATCATGGTGATCTATGCTGGTGGCAAAATGAACATTATAATAATAATAACAATAATATGACGTTGATATTATATATTTTGGAAATTGAGTTCGAGTGAAGTTCATTGCGTGACCTTTAGACACGAGCGGTAGGCGTAATATATGCAAAAAGTCAATAGGTCTCGGGCAAAGACCTTTTTGTAATGTTATAAAAAACAATGTTCATTTGTTTTATTTATTGTAACATTTAAAACACATTTTACCACGTGTCATTGCTATTAGGTATACTATTTTTGTCAAAAGCTATTTAAGCTAAGGTATAAAGTGCACTATCGGTAATTTTATAATAATAATTTAACTAGAATTAAATATATTTAATATGTTAGGTTAAGATCGATTTCGGTTGATTGTGATTGTGAATATGTTTTATGGCCTAAGGCTTTTTCAATAAGATCAAAATCTGAATGTTGTTGTCCAATCACGTTTCGGCCGATGTGTCTCCTTATCACCCCTTTTCGTTTCTTATCACTCTCTACCTCTTATTTATTAATTATCACTACTTATCTCTTATTGTCATGTCTTATCATATTTCTCTATCACTTATCATCTATCCTTATTATACTTTTTTACCTGTTATCACTCATCCGTAATTGTCGGTCGAATAGTGTGAAATGTTCAGTTAAGGAGTGGATTTGGAGTGGGTGGGTGCCATAAAACACATTCATGATTCATACGTTGCTTCTTGAAGAGGAACCTAACCTTCCTTTTTTTAATATGAACTGAAATTTTTTGGTGACTCACCTTGAAGTCTATGTATCCGTTTTTGTCCATGTCAAATGTCCGGAAGACGTGGTCACAAAATTCTTCGGCGTTACCACTCGGGAAAAACATTTTGTACATATCCACGAACTTAGCCGGCGTCAGACGACCGTTTGGACAATCTTGCTGTTAACAAAAAAATAAATTGGTTATCGTTTATTAATTATACTGTTCTTCTGTAAGACGAAGATCAAGAAGTTTACTAATTATACTCAAGTACGTGTCTTTAAGTTTGCCGAACTTTACAGTAAGATAAGTTTGATAATAATACTATTATAAGAACCCTAGATTAAAATCATTAATACGCTCAGGTATGAAATAATAAACGTTACTTATATACACATACACTTAATACCGTCCAAAATATTCGCATTCCAATAATTACATTTTATACATTATTGAGTGTTGTAAAACGAGCTAAAACATTAAAACACTTATGTAAGCGCCGAAGAACTATTAAATTACTTTAGTAAAAAGCCATTATAGGAATTTGCACACTAAGCCGCAAAAAGGATCAGCTTCCTTTTAGGCAACGGCGTTTGTTAAACATTAAAGTATATAAACTTAATGTGTGTTCATTGCACAGCGTTAATAACACTTAAAACTATAACAGTTGTGTACACAACCCAACATAAACGCTTATTCGTATTGACAGGGAATTTAATGTGAACCCGTAATAGAAAATTCACACTAATATATTGTAAGCAATTTCGATATTAAAAATAGCTGAGAGTAACATAACAAAACAAGTTTGCCGTCACGTCACGAAAATGTTGACGGAATCATCTGATATGAGATGTGTTAGTGATAAGAACTGAACAGATTGATAAGGATAAAACAGCTGATATCAAACGTGTTAAGAGTCCGATCGAAGCAAATGCGTTTTTTTTCCAATATGGCAGCCCCCTGTGTAATATTTTACACAATAAAAACGCGTCGACTGATCAATACACGCCGGTGGCCGCCATATTGGAAAAAAAAATGATACGCTTTTTCGTGTAGGGAGTTAGTCGACCTGGTTATAAGATCATGGGCTAGAGATAGCTAAGTAGAATGCTGACTGTAAGGTAAAATCAGCTGATAAAAGATAATGTGATAAGAAACAGTGCTTAAAACATTTCAAACCTTTAGCTCAGCTTAGCATTAACTTTAACTCAAAATAACGAGGTGATTTTCTTTTTTTTAGAAAATACTATTAAGGCAAATCTGGTGTATTTTTTTGTTAACATATATTAGTGATTCTTTAATTTATTGTGTTCCAAACGAATTGTAATTCGAAAGACACCGAGAAGAAAAGTTTTAAATTAAACATTTTTAACGTAAACGCAATCAAAGCGTGTTGCGCTATACACGGTTTGAATACTAATTGGTTCAACAACATGTACACGTAACAAATGCAAAAAAAAAATACACTATTTATCTAGTACGTCGGCTCTAACAAGTAGGTAAGTAATAACAATGCAAAAATAAGGTATACACGAAAAAATAGAATTAGTGGATGAAAAGTTTAATTATAAGCCAAAAAATAAAACCACATACTTTCTCAACCCCTCGTCAAAGGTAAAACACTTCCAATTGAGTTCGAGTAAATAGTATCATCAGATTTTTAGCTGTAAAAAAAAATATGGGTCCACGTTCACGACTAGCGGCGTTTAAGACTTCACCTTTTTCGCAGCCTTTTAATTATCAGCGATTGGTCTGATTAGTAAGAGAAAATAACATGCTCTGTTTTTATAACATGAATAAGTTTTATGATAAATTTAAAATTTGCGCGACACTTTTCAGCAAGACCAAATCCTTTTTCGTTGTTGGCCTATTACGTTTTGGCCAATGCGCCTCATCACTTCACTCGTGTGACACGAGTCGTGTCTATCACACCACTTCCTTATCTCTTATCACTCATGGTCATTATAAACTATCAGGTGAAACGTGCGAAACGTTCAGTCGAGATTAGACGTGGGTGTAGGTATCATCATCATACAACTTATTAACGATTCGTCTCATCTCGAAGAGGAGGTAATTTCTTCCACCTCTTGCTTTCTCGTCGGCTCTTTTTTGGAATCCTAGACGTTGTTTTAACAAAGCAATCGCAAAGCGACGCAAATAGGGTACGTGTGCTGCTTTACATTTGGGGGGGGGGTGGGAGGAAGGAAGGGGGAAACAAGGGATTGGCGGTGACTTCACGTGGCGGTCAGAGATATTTAAATATCCGGTACGACAGTGTGGCGTGGTACACGGCGTGCTCTTCGTGTTGATTCAGAGGAGTTGAGCTCAATCGAAAAGCGCTGAAACGTGGCGTGGCGGTGCTTTTGGTGGCAAGTGTTGCGGTCGGATTAACGCGGATACACGTCAAACCGCGATGCAAAGCCGGTCTCGTTTGCGATATCTATACGGAACACAACACGACGTCGCTGTTCTTTTAGCACAGACACGATAGACGTGCACACTACTGTATGTACATAATATACACGCCCCGTCGGGGATTTACTAACGGAAGTGCCGTGTTGCGCCGGTTAGAACCTTTTTGTAAATAGATATACAGATAGGAGTTACACGGAGAGACGTCGCCGCCGAGACTTCTCGTCCGAGGGGGGCGGAGTGGGGTAGCAACTCAATTAATCACCCCCGCCCCCCCCACCCCCGGGTTAATGTCATTAATCTTAAGGAAACAAAATCCAGAAGAGGCTAATATCGCGCACACCCTCTCTTCTCCTCAAGCCCACGCGACTACCATACCGGTAATGTGTTTTTGGCGGCATCTGACGGTGTTGCCCGCCATAGCTATGACAAGGTAAATTATTCGCACGACGAGTTGCCTCGCTCGCGAACACAACAACAAAAGCGCAATAGTGTCTTTAGGGGTGAAATCGCCGAACCGCGCATAATGCGCAGTACGTGGCGCTGGCACGAGACCACCAGACGAGACTTATAGAAAACGTGCACCTGATGCCAGCAATATACGTTTTGATGTACAACTTTGCCAACTCGTTCGGCTAACTACTCCGCTAACAGTGTTTTAATTTTCAACCCTAAACGAATAAAAAAAAAAAACGACAACGGCCCTCGATAATTTTACCCCCTACACATAATCCGTGGCTAAACGCAAAGGCGTTGTGTAAGAAAGGTGTGATTCTTTTTAATAGTTGAGTTATAGTAACAGAATTTTACAGGTTTCGAATTTCTAAAAATAAATTATTTTCCGGTTTCAAATTTCTATAAAATAAATTATTTTCCGGTTTCGAATTTCTATAAAATAAATTTATCTTTCTTTCCAAAAGATATCGGAAATACATTGGATATATACACTTCTGTTCCTCCCCTCTTCAATCCCTCATATCCTTACCTCCTCTCGTTTCCTATTCTCCTCTCTCTCCTCATCTCATTCGCACTTGACTTTAATGAAAAGGCGGAATTATTCGAATAAAATCTGGATTACATCTAATCTCTTTTGTCTTATCAGATGTCTCTTATCACTAATCCTTTATCAGTTACCAGTTGACGTCATCAATCGTGACATGAAAATCTCCACTCAAATTTCGGATTGACATATGCATGATCATACATTGATCATATCATAGCTGACCGTGGACTCAATAGACAGTCGAAGATACAACGAGCAGGCTCGTGCTTCAAACGCTGGTAAAACAGCTGTTAATCCATACACACAAGAACCACATCAATTGAACAATGTTCGTACAAAAACGTGTTGCTTATTTCAGTTAACTATAAGCTACAAAACCAAGCCACAGAGTTACTTAATATGTCTCCCTCACTGTCTAACACAATCTTCCGTAAACGACTGTTCCTCCTCTTCGTTCAATAAACTCTAACCACCTTTTGTGACTTACTACAAACTCTGTTCCCTTTTTGTTCGTCGTCATTGTCAATGTCGTATTACTTCTCTACTTAGTTTTCCTCAAAAATACACAAATCGTTTAAAATGTAATCCCTTTATATATTTTAAGTAGCTATTTTATTTATTTTTTGTCTGTTTTATAAATATTCACAACATTTACATAAGACAACGCTTCAGTAGGGATTTTTGATCCGCACAATTCTTATTACTTTGTTAACCAAAATTTCTTTCTCGGCTAGGAGAAACATTGCCGGTCGATACTTATACATTTCATCAAAAATACAACTTTTGCCATCATAGTTGTGGATTTTTTTCCTCGACTTGTACCCACGAGAGTTTCGACCAAATTGGATTACAGACCTGAAGTTGTAAAAAAAAAAAAACTTTTCACTTCAAAGTTCGCAGCGAACTTTCGGTGAGTTAATTTTGTTCGTTTAGTTTTTATACTGTCGGAACAGATAAAATTAAAACTTTTTTTCTCTGATGTGATTTCCGATAGTAAAAATCCATAATAGGATCGTCGACTTTTGCCTTTTTGCATCTATGCACTACAGCACGTAGAAAAGTTGTAAGGTCGTATCAAAACGGCTTATGTAGCATTTGAAACTAAACCTACAAATTGTTTTTATCGTAGAGCAGCAACTGGTGGGACGTTTAATTTTCTTAAGCTACTCAAAAAAGGCAATCCGTTAATCCTCAAACACACGGGGAAAGATTCCACGACTCATTGCCTGGTATTAGATGGATTACTTATGTTAAAACTAATTTATTTTCGTAATATAATAATGCCAATCACGAACAAGTGGAAAAAAAAAAAAATCATAAACTTCCCCCTACTGTAAAGTCAGGCGTTACAGCCAAGGATTTGGCAGGAACATTAATCTTGGTCCGGTGGATTTACGGATAATATTTATACATATATATTTGTCAGTAAAAAATGACGGTTTCTCCAGGATTAAAATTACATCTGGCGTGCGACCGTCCCCCGAGACGATAGATTTCTACCAGTGTCTACTGTTCCCTTACCTACCCTCGCCTCGGTTCGTCATCAATAACCCCGCACACGCCCGAATTTCAGTGCTTAACCTTTACAGCTTTGGAATTCTTCTCGAGATAATAATAACAAATATCATACTCTCGTTGGCTTGTCGGAATTTATAAATTACTGATCGACTGGCGTTTGAATTTTTCTTAAAACAACGTTTAAAATTATCCGCTTCCTTATCACTTTAAATGCCAAAATCCATAAAAGGCGTCATAGAAACGTTTT